AAAATTAAAAATAATGATTTTAGATATTGACAAGGACGAGTCATCAGTCACCAAATTAACTGTATTTTGTAGATTTGACTAAATTAATTTTCAAAATAAATTAGAGCATTTACCTAACTTTTTTTTTTTTTAAACCAGATTTGATTCAATCAATTGAATCAACCAGATCGACCCATATATATTTTAAAATAATGGAATTACCCCATAATTAAGAGTCTATCATCCACTGATAACAAAAAAAAAAAAAAAAAAAAAAATCTATCATCCAATGAATTGTGTTTGGTAGTTTGACAGAGTTCGAGCTGCCATATATGTTCATTAGAATTTATTATTGGTTATAAATTAAATTGCATTCGTACGTACCTCACGGATATGCAAAGCCTTTTGAACGGTTTTATCATTTGCCCAGATATACGAGAATACATAGTTGTCATCCTTAGAATAGTTATAAAAAAAAAAAAAAAGGGAAAAAATGAAGAAGAAGAAGAAAAGTTAGTAAGCAGTTGAATTTATAGATATTTAGAAAGGATCTAGAAGAAGATTGAATTTACCCGACACCATCGTTTCGAAGGTTTAGCCGTTGAAGGATGGGAATCCCTGAATCTTATTAGACTGCGTCGATCGAATGTGGTAATATTTGGCTTCGGATGCACCTCATACTCACACTTCGGTTCCAGTATCTGTGCAACGTTTATGTCTTTTGTCCACTACAATAAATTAAGGTGATTAGTTGGACTTGATTGAAATCAAGTTTATAGTGTGCTTTATTATTACAAACAAAAAAATTATTTTGTAATAAAAACTATATTTAAACCCTAAACATTAAATGAAAGACATTTTGATTTAGAGATAGGACTGTATTTAATAGTTAATGCTTTATTATCTGAATTATAAAATCACACAATGTATTGCAAAACTTTAATATATACTTACCTCTCCGAAAACTTTTGCATCACGAACACATTTCGGATTGTTGGGATCTGGATACACATATTTGCCCTTGCAATTTTTTTTAATTGACTTGAAAAAAAATAAAAATAAAAACAAAGAATGAACCAATCAACCATGAGAATGAAGAATGAACCAATCAAAAGATTATAAGTAATTATATTTGGGACACTGATATAGAAACTATTTAATTTCATATTTATTAAAAAATTATTATTTTTTAATTTAAAATTAAAAATAAAAAAACTTAAAAATACAATGATGCGTATGAAAAAAATTGATTGAATTAATTAAATTTATATTATATTTTAATAACTAAATTAGTTATATATCGACATGTGTGCCAAATTATGGGGTGTCAAAATTATTTTCCTTATATTTAACATAGACACAAATGAATCTCAAAACGGTAGTATTGTTATCAGTATAATGTTTTCTTGCACAATAATTAATTTTATATGACATTAAATAATTAAATGTATATTAAATCATCAATAACCTTGAGTAAGAAAAAACAATTATAAAATATTATGTCATATTACATAAATCATAAATATTGTACCTCAATCAGTTTCGAGCTAAAAAATATAGGAATGTTAAATTACCTCATAAAATGGACGGGGTAATAAAGCTTTTCGGTAAGCAAATGAGACCCTTGAATTGAGATCATTGACTCCATCTGTATATGGGTTGCCTAGTATATATCCCTGAGTTCATTTATTTTGACCCCGAAAAATGAAAATATAAACTTATAAAATGAAAATGAAAAAAATAAAAAATTACTAAAAAATCTACAAAAATTCATTTGTTTTCAATGTACCTTTAGGTTCAAAGGGGGATAATGACCAACTTCATTGCCTGGAAAAAAGGGGGCTAATTTTAGGGGAAAAGAAAAAGACAATAATTGATAAATTAGCAAAAAAAAAAAAATTTGAACTAGATAAAAGATCAAGGTTTTTAATCTTTTTAAGTGATATGTTTAGTTTAAAGGGAATGAAAGGAAGAAATAAATTTTTTAATTAATTAAATTATAACATTAGCTTCTTTTTTTTTTTTTTTTTTTGGATCAGTCATAATATTAGCTAATGTTGGAATTTAATTAATAGAAAAAATCATCCATCCCCTTTCTGCTCCTCTCTTTCTTTTTGTTTTTCTCATAGTAAATATACTTTAATGGATATCCAAACCAAACATACTTTAATGGATACACACCATTTGATATGAGTTCAACGATCATTGGAACAGTAATTCCAGAATAAGAATCGCCAGAGATGTAAAACGGGTTTGTTAAGAAGTTGGTGTGAACAATAAACCACTGCATAATTAACTCAAGGAAAAAAAATTAGCTTGAACTTGAGTTTTGCTGAGATTTGAAATCAACTTTGAGTTGGTGAAAAATTAGCTTGCTCTGCATCGAATTGATGTGCCAATTTTTACTAACCTTCTTCAGAAAAGTATAGATCTGTGCAGCGGCCAATGTATCACTAACACTATAAGCTTCCGGAGAAGTTGCATACGAAAAGCCAGTGCCAACAGGTTGATCCAAAAATATAATGTTTGCTACCTGTAAAATTAGTATATATATGGTTAATTAATCGATATATATAAAGCTTAGGGTAGTTAGTGAGCCTGTCAAATAGAAGCTCAACTAGAGTCAAGCTTCTTAAATAAACAATAAATTTGAATTTAAGCTTGATAAATAATCCTATCGAGCTCGATTATCTAAGTATTTTTCTCCTAAACTTATGAGTAACTCAATTAAGATAAAAATAAAAGTAATAAATAATGTTTATAGCTTATGAGTAGTTCCCTTTACAAACGTTTTGAATTCTTGAATGTAACAAAGTTATTGGGCTCAAAACTTGAACTCAATTCTATCAAACACTATGAAACTCAAGATCGACAATAAGGCTCAATTGGTATGAGTTGAGCTTGAACTTAAATGCCCCAATATTCAACTCAACTCCAGTCATATATAGCTCTACTTCTTAGCCTTTCAGCTGATCCACATCAATAGCTTACATAATCAAGTGTTCACACATACCTTTGTCCATGAGTAAGGGTTCAGCTCAAATGTTGGTTTGTTTCCACTTGAATTTGAATAGTTGAATTTCAGTGGACCTATATATATAAACATATACATATATTAATTGAGTCTGGAAAATAAAACAATTTGAGGCTTCTCTATATGAAAGGGAAACTCTAGCTAGTTTGATGTACCGATCTCATAAACAAGGCCAGAAAAAGCAGAGCAACCAGGTCCACCAGTGAGCCAAAGCAGAAGAGGATCGTCCTTGGGGCTCCTCTCGGATTCAATGAAATAGTAGAAAAGTTGCACCTCATCGTTCTCGCCCACTCCAATGTACCTTATATGTAAAACACACTAGTTTGAAATCAAGCAAGAAAAAGCTCAAGCATAACCGTTACTTAGATATTGAAATATTCATTATATATTATACTAACCCCGTTTCAAGTGTAAAAGGCAAGTCACCATCAAAACCAGGAAGGTTGCTGACGACCCACTGAGAATCAACGCTTTTGATAGACAGGAAGAGTAGATAAAGTATACTCAAAATCTTTACTCTGACACAGCTACTTGAACTCATAATGATAGAGGGATGTTTCCGAAGATGGAAACTCATCAGTCATCAATTCCGATAATAAGCTTAAAATTTGGTGAGCCCTTAATCTACTAGTCAAAATGGTTGGTTTGAACTTTGAACTTTGAAAGAAAGTAGAGCTTCCACGTCCATTTCAGTTATACATTAAAAAATGGCAACTTCTGATGCATTATAGTATAATATAGGGAAAGACCAGATTAAAACGAAGCTGGAGCTTAAATTTTAAATTAATTTTGCAAACCTAACTTTCAAGTTGTAACTAACATATCATTTTTTCACATGCCCCGAAGTGAAGTAGATATTGACTATGATTTATCTTAACTTGAAATAGGGGTAACCCCATTTTTTATGGATGGGAAACTAACAACAATGATGCATTCTTAGTTGTATCTTTCACATATTGATAGCCTATGCACTAAACGAATCTAACCTTTCACGTGCTAATTAATATGTCTACGAGGAGTGTAGTGCAATCAAGTATTTTGAAAAATGATATAGATATAATCTTATTTTACAATAAAATTTAATAATTTATATAACAATAGTTATAATTTCTTATATTTTATTTATGCAAAATGAGTGAATCAATATTTATTTATTAATTTAACATTTTTTTGTATTGTGAGACTCTATTATGAGAAAATCTGAAGTATGAATGTATCTTAATTATTATGTAACAAAACTTTCACCCTAAACATTTTGACTGATTTTTTTTTTTTTGTTGTTGTAATTTTAGGTTTATCACACCCTTAAAAGTAAAGATATAATTATAATATTATGTAAAATTATAAATATATAATTATAATGAGTCTTTAAATTGATTGCATGCACACAATACTATGAATGGATAAATAAAAAATAATTATATAATAATACACCATGATTGTAAATTTAAAATGTCATGTAACATTATAATTATATCGTTTTCACACTATAAAACCACCTCATTCATATATCATATAACTCAAACAAAGAATTCCTTATTTTCACAATAAGGAGATTACTTTGGGCCACTTAGGCTTTATTTAACAATACTTCCTACAAAAAAAATTTTTTTTTACAAAATACCTTATCTTTTTTTTTTGGGGGGGACAACCAAAGATCATTACTATTAACCAAAACATTAGCAATACCATACAAACTAACCAACCTCACCTACAAAAGCATAAGGAAACCAAAGAAAATAGCCCTTAACACAAGATATGACAATAGAATTAACGATGTATGCTACTAGACATGGTACTTTATCTAAAAATGTAAATTTATTATTTTATTTAATTTTAATTAAAATTCTATATATATCCCTACTAATTTCAACTAATATTTTATATAGTTTTTGATAATAAGAGACAAAAAAAAAAAAAAAAATACAACTTCAATAATAATGCAGCACAACACAACACTACAAACAAAAAGCCTTAGACATTTTGAATTTTTTATTGAAGTTTATTCCTCAAAGTTAGCCCATTTAAATTTGCTAATTAAAGTCAGCCCTATCCAAGGGCCCAATATTGATCTTCCATGGCCTTATCCACAGCCACAGGGCTCAATATTCTTCTCAGATAGTTTTATGGCCCTTGTCCAGACCTGCACCGCCGTCCCATCAACTACTCATCTCCCGCCAGGAAATCCCTAGAAATCTAGAAGGTTCGCCTAGAAAGAGCCGAAGCATCAGCAAAGTCCGGATAGGAATGGCGAAAAGCAGACAATACTGGCTCCTCAAGACGGAGCCGGGCGAGTGGTCGTGGGAGGATCAAGCGGCAAACGGAGGACTAACCAAGTGGGATGGCGTCAAGAACAAGCAAGCCCAGAAGCACCTCAAGGCCATGAAACTCGGGGACCTTGGCTTCTTCTACCACTCCGGTGCTAGTGCTCGCCGCGTGATGGGTGTGGTAAGCGTGGTGAAGGAGTGGTACTCCGATGATGATAACGAGGTGGTGGTGGATGTGAAAGCGGTTGGGGAAATGAGGAGGGCGGTGGACTTGAAGGAGATGAAGGGGGATGATGGGTTGAAGGGGTTTGTGTTGTTTAGGCAGCCGAGGTTGTCGGTTGTGCCGGTGACGGAGGAGGTGTGGAAGAGGATCTGTGATCTGGGAGGTGGGTTTGAAGGGGATGGTATGAATGAAGGTGATGGTGGTGATGATTAAGCGTGGATCAACAGGCTCAATGGATATGTAGGTATTTTGTTCTATGTTAGAATTTTGCAGGTTCTGGTTGAAAAAGGAAGTGAAAAGGTAGAAACTTGTGGGATTGCTGGTGGGCATGCCTTTCTGTTTTTGTATGTGTTTTGTGAGGGTAAAAAGGGGTGCTTTAATCTTAATTTGCTTGAGGCTTTTAAGGCCCCAAATCCCTAAATGTTGCCTTGTTTCCTTGTGTGAATGTTTTATGGTAATTAACTGAATGGATTGGTCACAAAACCACTTAATTTGCTTGCAAACGACTTAAAGCAAAACCCAGCAATTGGAGATGAGAGATCCAATAGTGTCATGTTTGTTGAGGTGGTTGCGGCATTTCGTCGAGCAGTTGATAGATGCATAAAAAAGAACAGTTTTCCGGAAATTGGTTAGGTTTTGATCAGTGAACGGAAAAAATTATAAGGGGCGACTGCCAAAGATCCCTAACTATAGGGACCAATTTGTTCACTCTGCGCATGTGAAGGGCTTTACCTCGAAAACAAAAATATTTTGGGTGCATAATGATACGTCGACGTTCTACTGGCAAATCCGTAGTAAAACGTCGTCGTCTCAGTTGTGTCGTCTTCTTCAATTCAAAGCCCTAAACCCCGGCAGGGGAGGGAAGAAAATCAGAACTTTCTCGGATACCAAACATATCAAAAAGATTGAATTCACGAAATGCAGAGTCTAAGACCATGGCGGCCTTGTCTTTGGGAGGTCTTGAATCGTCCATGGAATGTAAAACATCCAAACCTAAGGGCGATTTCTTCTGCAGCTTCAGATTACCCAAACCAGTCTCGCGGTCGCCTTCCTCGGTTCTTTTCCGAAACCATCCCTTCTTCCAAGGTAATTCTCTCACTTTGTTTTCTTTGGAAGATTTGGTTAGGCTTGATTTTATGGAATACAGGGATTCTGAATCATTGTTTGCAATGATAATGCAGGGCGGTGTTGTTCGTGTGCAAGGCGATGAATTTTGGCATATGACTAAAGTTTTAAGATTGAAGACGAATGACAGGTACTCTTAATTCATCATAATTTACGATGTTTTATGGAGTTATGTGTTGAGATTCATATCTCTGTGGAAGGAAGGAGTTTATTGCTTCTTTAAAGATTTGGTTATTTTAAAATGGAAATTGTTTATCAATTTGAAAGTATTGACAGTTCTCGAAATAACGGATGTAAGGGTAGAGCTCTTTAATGGGAAAGGAGGTCTGGTAGAAGGTTGCATTCAGAACATTGACCGCGCTGCTTTAGATTTTGTGGCACTGGAAAATCCAAAGTTAGTTCTTCCACAGAGCACACAGTGGCATGTATTTTCAGCATTTGGTGAGTTTTCTGAGTTCCTGAAGAATTGGCATTTAAGAGTGGTTGGATTTTTGTAAACCCTTGTAATGACCATTATATGCTAAAACCCATTTAGGTACTCTCAAGGGTGGTCGAGCTGATTGGCTTGTTGAGAAATGCACAGTATGTCTTAAGGGGATTTACCGAAATATTCTGGTTCATCCCTTTTGATTTGTTATACAATTTTATTATTACTATTTATTAATTTATTTTTAAAATTTTCCAGGAACTGGGAGCCAGTAGTTTAACCCCTCTTCTGACAGAACGTTCTTTTGCAATCTCAGAAAATCGGGTGGACAGATTGCAACGTGTCATTTTAGCAGCAGCTAAACAATGTAAGATTGGTTCTAGTTTTATTTTCAAGACATTTGTATAATGAAATTTGAAATGCTATTCTCAGTTAAATTTTGCTTTGAAGAATATGTTGATTAGTGTCCTCTGTGTGTCAATTTTGTGTGAAAATTTATTTGATGCCTGTGACCTGCTTCTTTTTTTCTTTTCACTTTTCTTTTTTTTTCAATGTAGCTCAGCGGTTGCATGAAATGAAACTGAATCCTCCAATGAAGATTGATGGCCTTCTACCTCTTGTAAGCCTCTCTCATATCTTTGTAATTTTAAGTGGCTAGTTATCATTCTTGATACTCTTTATTTAAGAAACTGTTTAAGTGGTTCCTGTATCTTGGGCTACTTAGAATTTATCATGGTAATGTACTGCTTTGGATGAGTAATGTCATAAACTACTTGGTACTGGATAAAGTTGAAATCCTCTTAAGAACTGAAATGAGTAATTGAATATTCAAAGAGCCTAATAAGTATCAATGATATCAAATTGGGATTCATTGGTTTCTTCAATGAGAATCCTTATAATGAATCCACCTCTTGATTTGGGTTAGTACTTTTATTTATTTATTCAATAAACTGCTTCAAACATTTGAATTATTTTGTTTTTCTTTATCAACCAGACTATTAGAAAATTTATAAGGAATATTTTAGTGGCAGCAAGTATCAAACTTTTGGCTAACTCCAGAGTCCTACTCCTACACACTTTATGAAACAATATTTTTCTGTGAGAATTTGCAATGCCTTCTATCGAATTTAATTTTGAAACCAACTATCATTAATAATAGGAAAGGTGGTGCATCCAAAAGTTGAAAAAGGGAAACCTAAAATTTCATAACCTAATACAGGAAAGGTTACAAAACCAGTAACTATATTGTGATAACATGTTGTGCATTGACGATTTATTGCAGTTAGTGGTGATGTTCTGATTACCATATTTATCTCTGGACTCTTTCTTTCTTTATATAAAGTTGGATATAAGCCTTACTGTTTCTCCTTTCTCTTGTTTGCTTGATAGGTTGCCAAGTCAAAGCAATGTTTTACAGCCACAGCAGAAGCTACTCCTCTTATTCATGCATTGACTTCAGTGAGAGATGAATCGAGTGGGGACAGTGGGCTGATAATTGTTGGACCAGAAGGGGGTTAGTGTGCCAAAAACATTAGTCCCTATCTCTTATCATTGCTTTTTATCTTCATCTGCAGTTGTGACTGGAATATAACTAAGAATTAGATTGTATATCTAGTTGATTTGCTCTTTCTCTTCTCATCATAAATTATGAAACAATGTTCAGGGAGCAAAAACAGAGGAAAGAAGTTACAATGAGAAAGGATAACATTGAAAATAAAGAGAATCAAAGCAAACTTGAATAAAAGTCTGTCATCCATGAGAAGTGAGTTTGTGATTGGTGGATTTGATTTCAAATCCATCATCCACCCGCTTAAGTTGCTCTGCTGTTTCTTTCCAGCCACAAGCTCCATATCAAACAAATAGTGCAATCTGCAGGCTATTTCTCCTTTCATGAAAAGCACATCTAATATCAAATTGGTGGGTGGAACCCCCTTCAAGAGCAGAATGTAATATATACAATGTAAAGAATCAAACTTTTATTGAACTGATTAGTCTAGCTTAAAGAACAGCACAACAAAGTGTAACCAACTTTGTTCCTGGGCTGTGAGCAGTTTGACAAGCAATGAGTTTGCTTACGTCCCTGGATCATTATTATTTTCAACTTTCGACCCTTCTCTTTGGCTGCTTTAATTATATCAGCTTATCAGTAGTTGGAAAAAATATGTTAAAAAAAAAAAAAACTCATTTTGTGGATAATTTGATTGGTTTATGTGTAGGGGAATTTTAACCATATAAAGAACAAGTCATGTTCAATCACTCAATATTTGTTCTAGTTGTAGGAAGTTGTCTTTTTCTTTCAAAGAAAACTAAAACTGAAATTTATATTTTATACATATTGAATTTTCCCTTATATGTTTTAGTTGGGTAGAGTTCCATGTACTTTTGACATCTTTGCTTTTCCTTTAGAAAAATGTGAAGGTAGTTGCTAATTGTAATTGGTATGAATTTATTATGTTTCTGGCGTTTCAGACTTTACAGCTAAAGAGATGAGGATGATCCTGGAGGCAGGTGCTACTGCTGTTGGTCTTGGGCCACACCGCTTACGTGTTGAAACTGCAACAATAGCTCTTTTGGCAACTGTTATGTTATGGTCTGACTCACAGCAGATGGTCAGCCCATGAGCACCTGTGCTGGTACAGCTAATAGTTTTTCTCTTGGTCAGCCTTCTAACTTGCATCTCATCTCACAATCCTTAGTGTCTATATTAGATTCAGAATTGGGGATATGGCATATGAGCTAGGGGACGATATTTTCTTTTTGTTTGCTTCAAATGACATCAGAAGTTCTGAAAGAGAAAATGGAGGTAGGATGTATATGATTCTTTCCAGAAGTCATTTAACTTGCATCATTGGTTTTGTTTAATATTCCTCTTCCCTCTATGTATTTTCAAGCAGGCATGCATTGCATATTTCTATTGCTTGTCAGGCTAAAGAAGACAAATGGCTGCACTTCTGTCCACTTTATAATCAAACTGTTAACTGCCTGTATACTACATGTCCATGCTTGTCCAAAATATTGCTTCTGTTTCTGAAATGTTAAATTCTAAATAAATAAATAAATAAATGTTTAATCCTCAAAACTAAAATAGTTTCATTAAAGTCTGAAGCAATGTGTTAATGTTTTAAGAGTCAATTACTTGCTTTAGCAAGAAATTTTTGAAATCTGGCATTATGATTGGGAGAAAGGTCAAACCAAAATAGAATAAGAAAATAGAAGTCACTGAAATTATAAAATTATAATGGGTGGCTCTACCAACCATATATTATGTCCTGTTTAAAATAAAAATAAAAAATCTAATAATAAGTTTTGGCAGTGTTGAAGCTTGAAAATTTAATCAGTCTGTATTTATGGTCTATCCTAGCTTTGATTTCAGTTACATACTATTCTTTGGTAAAAGTAATTTAAATATTAAAGGGTGGTTGTGTTAGACTGGCATTTATTTCTCTAGCCATCAATGTTTTACCTGATGCAGGTCCATGGTGTTGTTCCTTCTCAGTCATTGACCAACAAGGGCCAACAATTGACAAATGCTTGGTATCTTTGGGCAATTAGCAATGTCACTGGTTCGTTCATTCATTATGTTTTGGATTTCCTCTTATGTGTTCATATATTCCCCATCATAGTTTCAATGTCTATCTCTGTGGTACAAATTTTCTTCAATTTCATCCCCAACTTTCTTCCTAGGGTGTCCTGTGTGACTTGTCTGTTGCTGACCGTCACCATCCCGCTTTAGCCAATTTTTTCTTAAATTAATGCTTGAAAATCCTCTCTGAATTAATAATATTGAAATATGGCGTGTTTTCCACATTTGAACTCTTAAGATTGGATGCCAAGGGATATTTAAGAAAAGGAGGGCTTGACTTCAGCATGATCTAAGTCTATCATATGCCGTGTTTGAATACAAACTTTGGCACTATTGGTGACATTACTCTTGCGTCAAGTAATTCATACATTCTTTTAATTGTACGGCATTGCTTTCTTTATAATCTCCTTCCTATTAGATTGTAGATCTGTGGACTGCTAAATTGAGCTTGAGCTTTACTAGGGAAGGTCTATTCGTCATTACATATTAACGAAATTTCATGAAGACATCATTTGACTTGAAAATTCGCAAACTCTTGGAGTTCTTTAAATTGTAATTAGAGGTTGAGGTTATAGTCACCAATTTTCACTGTAATTTTATTAATTTGTAATTTTCTAAAATAGTTAGTTATAATATTTACAAATATTTATTTATAAATTAATTTTAATATGTTAAATAATAAAAAATATATATTTTGTTAGTTATCAGTTATTTTTAACTGTTTAAATAAAATAAAATTTTAATAATTTTGATGGTCTAAATAAAAGTAGTAGTGGTCATATTAATGATCTGTTAGTTTGAGTGGAAAGAATTTGTTTTTCCTTAAGTAAAATCTTGAATTCGAGTTTTATAAATGAAAAAATAGGCGTCGAGAGAATTTTCCTCTTTATAGGGTCCAACAAGACTTGATTTTGAATTAATTGAGATTTAATGTGATTGCTGAATATTAGAATATTGATACCAAAAAATTTAGTGGTGGCCATAAGTAACCATGGTGGATAATTAGACTGCACATGGTCGGCTCGTCTCAAAAGTATCTTGGTTTTGTTTGCTAGGTTAGTAGCTATGTGTTGTTGCACATGTCCTTTTCCCTTTTTTTTCTTTTGAAATTTGTTCTTTTCACACGCATGATGCACCGAGATTATGGTTGATATTGTAAGGTGAGAAGGAATCGATAATAGTTGGTTTCTGTAATCGAATGAATAAGGGTGTTTCCCAAATCAATCAATACAGGACCAAGCTAAGGTTTTGTTAGGTAGAGAAGGACAAAAGCATAGGACTCGGAGAATTCCTGTGACCCTGCCCATGATAAAAGTGGGAAATGCTTAGCCGTTTTAGATGAGCTGAATCTGTTTGGAAATGTGATGTTAGCCTTTTCGTGTTTCTTCCTGAAACCAAATTTATGGAATTCTTTTGTGTACTTGCATGAAATTGGGGGTGTGGTTATGCACATTGAAGAAATTTATTATGGTATCTAAAATTGTGTTAAAAAAATATTGATTTTATTTAATTTGATAATTAAAAATAATTAATAATTTATAAAATAATTAATATTTATTATTTAATAAATTAAAATAAATTTATGAATTAATATTTTCAAATAAGTAAGGATTTATTTATATATAAGTTTTTTATATTATATTTATATAAAATCTTAATTATTTAATTTTTTATTTTTAATAATTAAGAATTATTTATATTTATTAAAAATAATTATTTTTATTAAAAAATTATAATAAAAAAATTAAAATTAAAATTTTATATAAATATGATACATAAATTTTTATATACAAATAAATTTCTTCTTTTCAAATATTATAACTCTTTATTAGCAATAATATATATATATATATATATATATGAATATGGGGGAATTTGAAAAATGAGAGATTTTTTTCAAGTTGTTAATAAAGATCAAACTCTCCATCAATTATCTCCAAAGAATTAAACTCTAAGGACGAACTATTACAATCGAAGATCTTGTTCTTTTATTTAAAAAATAATTGTAGATACTAATTAAATTAAATACAAATTTAATATTCTTGACAATTCGATTGTCCGACATATTCACTGCCATTGAATTGAATGTACCTTCTTTGAAAATAGGCAACGTAAATTGAATGTACCCTGTGAATGCAAATCAAGTGGAAGGCTTTATGTGGGTCTGTGTCCATCGCATTTGTATATTAATTGGGAAATCTAGATGTGTCAGAGATACGGTATGATTATGGTTTACATGTGCAATGTCTTTTGTCATTGAACAAAACCTCATCTCCAAGCCATGTTCGGATTTTCAATGTTATATATATAGATTTTGAATCTACTTATATGGGTAGATTTTACATAAATTATTATAAAAAAATTACATAATGTAAATAATATTAAAATTATACCAACGACTTGTTAGTAGAAATAAAAAAAATTCAGTTTTTTTTAAATAAAATTTTAAATTCAATTCTTATAAATAAAGAAATAGATATTGAGGTAGTTTTCTTTTATGAGATTTGATGTGATTTGATTTTAAATTAATTGGATCTAATATAATTTTCAGATATTGAGATATTAGTAAAAAAAATATTAAAATTATATAATTTAAATTATTAAATGAAAAAAAAAGTCCTTAATATTAGAAGATATTGCCATTTAATAATTTCTGTTGGCTAAGTTCGAAACAGAAAAGTCAATTTTTATTTGGTGGTTTTAAGGTTTAACTACCGACAACGGAAAATAAAAGTAAATTAAATTTAACTGAATAAAACTCGCACAAAACAAGACTGAAACCCAACCATATACACTGGTATGTTTAATATATTTTTTAATTATTAAGTCATAATAAAAAAATATAAAAATTGATATTAATTTTAATATTAATGTTTCATATACTGATTTAAATAGTTAGTTGTTAAAATTAAAGTTAAATTATATTTTTTAATGTAACGTGATGGTTAAAATTTTCTTTAATTGCATTTAGGGTACCAACGATTTATTGATTTAAGTAAAAAAAATTTAGTTCGTTTTAAATAAGATTTCAATTTCGAATTTTGTAAATAAAGACATAGGTGTTGAGAGAGCTTTTTCTCTTATAAAATCTAACTCAACCTGATTATAAATTAATTGAAATATAATATAGTTTTTAAATACTACAAGATTTAATAAAAAATTATTTTTTAAAAATATATGTTAAAAAAACCATATACTAATTATAATAAGTTATTGTTTGTTTTTTTATCCAACTTCTTCCATCATAACAGTAACGCAATGAATATTATAATGAACTAAACATGTTCTTAAATGCTTTTTTTGTGCGATCTTGATTTATTTCTTAGCTCAAAAAAGATGAAAGCAATCTTATTTCATTCCAAATATCTTCCAAAAAGTTGTGATAGATGAAACGCTGGCTTTAACTATCATGAAGAGTCAGCACTCATCAATTACTTGTCCCAGTGGCCAACTGCGCTCAAGTGATTAAGCCACATTGGGGTTGAAGTCAAGGATCAAATATGAAATATGGACCAATTAACATATGGTGTTGGTTTTGATGGCTGTTTGGCATCAAATAATCAAGGTGAAAATCTTGAAAACAAAGATTTTACTAGAGTTTTAGATAATTCTGTCTGCTTTTGAGCCACATTGGGGTTGAAGTCAAGGATCAAATCTGAAATATGGACCAATTAACATTTGGGGTTGGTTTTGATGGCTGTTTGGCATCAAAATGTCAAGGTGAAAATCTTGAAAACAAAGATATTACTAGAGTTTTAGATAATTCCGTCTGCTTTTGAGTTAGGAGTAGTGCCGTGTAGGTTGTTGCAACCCATTGCTTTTTCTTTCAAAATATAAAATTTAATTAATTACAGTCATCAAAGGTTACTAATAATAATAATAATAAAATACCATCAGTCATTTTTATGTAGTATGATTTTGATACATAAAAACTAAAGATTAAGTTTTAAACATATGATTAAAAGAACACGTAACTTTATTATTATATCATATAATTAATAATTTTCTATAGTATGATGGTAGAGTTGTATTGCTTCTTTTTTCTTTTTTATAAATTTAAAGTTTAATATCTAATCTTTAGATACATAAAAAAAAAAAACAATATCAATAAAATTGATTGGATCACAAGACCAATCCAATATAAGGCAAAAGTAGGAAAACTGATGTTTGATTGCTATTTAAAAACAAAAAAAAAGGAAAAAAAAAAGAAAAGAAAAGAAAGTTTTTATGGTTCAACTTGCATTAGGTGTAAATCTCACTTCTTTAATAACTATAACACTGTAGTATGTCCTAAGCTAATGCCTCAATAGTTAAAGGTTTAAATATTTATATTAAAAATCTCAAATTTAAATTTTAAGATACATGGGAAAAGATTTGAAGAGGGATTTGAAAAAGAAATAATTATCTTATATTGTATAGTTTATCATTAGACAATACCAAAAATAATAATAAAAACATAGAATATATCAATTTTAACTCTAAAAGAAATTAGAGTCTCAACTTTAAAAACTCTACTTTAAGTACTCTCTTATGGATATTTTTAAAATTCAATTGTTAAATGTAGTATTTAATTTATGTAGATCATGTATATTAATTTTTAGATTGATAGAAAATATATAATTAATTCATTGATTATAAAAAATTCATCACTATTAAATATATATTTGAAATATAAATTTTGTGATCAAATAATTGTACATATTATATTAATTTAAAAATTAATATATATGATTTATATTAATGAAATGTTAAATTTAATTGTTAGTTTTTGAAAAAAATTCAATAATGAATAGTATTTTTAAAGTTGAAATTCTAATTTTTCACGAAAGTCAAGGTTAATATGCATTTTTTTAGTAATAATATTGCAACAATTCAAACTATATTAAGTCTTAAAATATCAGTGTTTTTATAAAAAATAAAAAAAAAACATTAATCGTAAAATTAAATTTATGAGTTGTAGCTTTTTTAATAGCCAAGTATAATAATTTGTTCACTTAACAAAACAAAATTACACGAATGAGTCTAAGACATTGAATTGCAATATATATATAAGAATTAGAAAGATTAAGTTTGATCTCAAAATCTTTTTATAATCGCAATTGATCCAGGACTATCATGTCATCATTAAATCGTTCATGTATGTTGCTCAACAACATCAATCAATTCCCTTTCCCGTTCATGCATTAAAACCTGACTTCCTATTTTAAATTACTTTATCGATTTTTGTTATGTGCATGTTTTTAAGTTAGCTGCCTATTATTGGAAAATTTTTAATTTTTAATTTTTATCCTAAGTTAGAATTTTTTTTACTGTTAAATATTAATTCAATCAAAGTTTATTGATTTTAAATATCTTTACTGTTAGTTACGATTTAAAAAAAAAAAAAAATTGGCAAGCAATTTTATCGAAAATGAAAATCATATTTACATTTACACCCAGGCATACCTAGGGAAAAACTCTAATATCAAAACTTTAATCTAATAAAGCTCAAAATTTCTCTACATAACAAGGTACCAGACCTCATTTTCCCTTGAAAAATCCTATAATTTGGATCAGCTTGTATTTATCAAACAAAATTCGGGTGATTTTATTGTTATATTTTCAATTATTAAGGTTA